ATAACAACAGTCTTCAGCGCATACCATCAAATAGTAACGCTGCCCGAAATTTAATTTTGATTGGTTAAGTTTTTTTAAGCTCTTTTGCCTTGGAAAATAATAAAAAGCCACATTTTTAGTGCCCTAAACTGCAAAGCTATATATCTAAACTTAAAATGTCAGCTTACTGTAAAAAAATTATTTAAATATTTAAAAATTAATAAACTTTTTTAAAAAATAGTCAATTTGGCAAAATTCTTCTCTCTTATATAAAAATTAATGAATATTTCAATCAATGAATATCAAAAATCAATGAATATTAGTAACTTTTCCCATTTTCAAAAATTAGATCACAAATACTTTTCTGAAACTTTTCTTCACGATGATATTTTGCATCATTTACATAATTTGCATAGAGGGCGCTGTCTGAAGATGGGTAAAATTTAACCTAATCATAAATCATAGAAAACAGTTATAAAAAAATATATTCTTTCTCTAAAAAATGTTATTTTATGCAAAGACTTGGAAGAGAATTGGCTATAAGCAGATAGAGGATTATATATAGGATAAGTTTATGGCCAACCTGAATTTTATTCCTAAACGTGGCTAATATATGTAAATCCTGTGGATTGAACTACTATTTTTTTAAAATTTTATTTGAGCCAAGATTAAAAAGTTTTAAAATTTTGTCGCATATTTTATTAACTCTGATTGACAATTAGTTATATTTTGAATAGCAATCTTTCATTTATTAAAAAAAATGTTTTTTCATTAAATAACTTCGATACAGCATTAGAAATCAAAATCACTCCTAGTGCTGACTTTTTTTTCTTTGAACATATTTTAAAAAAGTTATTAAGTGAAATGGATTACTCAAAATTATTATTGGCTTAATCTGTTTTTAAAAATACATTTTTCATTCGTAGGCTTATACTTATTGACTTATAAAAACATTCTATCCTCATTTTTCTGAATTAGATGTTAATTCAATTAAATATCGATTTTTTAAAAGTTTAATCAAATGAATACTTTCTAAAAGTTTAGTTGAATTATTATTTTAGAATATTATTTCATGTAGATCTCATGCAAAAGTCATTACGCAAACATTACGAATATTCATTACGAAATATGTAAAAAATACAAGAATACAGGATAAATTTGTTCGTTTTCATTTTGAATTACCCTGTATTTGAGGGGGAGGGTTGAATTATTTCTATCAAGACAAGTCAGACATAGTTACCAATGTATTCTTTTACACTTAATTGAATGAAATCAATCTTGAGACATTTCTGACGATTTGTTTAGAAGGTATGTTTTATGTAGAAAAGTACAAATTTGTAGTTGTATATATTTACGCAGTTGACATTACTATCTAAACAATTTAGGTATTGTTTTCTATGTATTTTTTTACATTGAATTGAATGAGACTACACACAAGTCAATAGAGCGAATAGTTTAAAATTTAAAAAGGGTTTTGTGTATAAAAAGTACTTCTTTTGGCATGTACTTATGTACACTTCTCACACTGCTATGACGGAGCTATCTGAACATGTAAGGTATATTTCTCTGATGTAATCTTATATGCTGAATTAATTGAAATAAAACAGAAATTCATTTATAGTATTCATTTATAATATAATATTATTATTAATAAGATAAAAAGTTATAAAGGTTTTGTGAACAAAAAGTACTATCTTGTACTTGTACTTATATACGCATCTCACGTAGCAACACAGAAAAATGAGGTATTTTTTCCTATCAATTTTTTCTCGCTTAATCGAATAGAAATAAACACAAATCAAAAGGACTAATATTTCAAAAGTTGCAATGGCTTTTTTTTATATAAAAAATACTATTTATTTCATTTATTTCTATTATATTATTAGTACTATTTTTGTTATGAGTAAAATCATTATAATTTTACAGTTTTTTATCTAATCAACTTGAACTTTATCTTTTTCAATTCAGCATGAAAAATTACCACGGAAAATGTACATTATATGATCAGATTGCCTCTAGATAGCAATGTGAAAAGTGTGCATAAGTACATGTCAGTAGAAGTACTTTTTTGTAAATAAATTGCTTTTAACTTTTAAATTATTTATTCTTTTAATTCTTGTGCAGTCTAATTTTATTAAACTAAAAAAAATATACGTAGGAGTACAGTGCTTCACTTGTTAACATAGCAATATCAAATGCGTAAAAAAGCACAAATACAAATTTGTACTTTTTGTATATAAACATATTTAACTTCTAAACTGTTAGTCCGATCATCTCAAGATCGGTTTCATATAATTCAGCTCTAAAAGAAAAAAAAAGTTTCCCCCTCCCAGTTTCCTCAAAGAATTGTACAAAGGAAAGAAGAGAAGTTTTCAGGTATCATTTCCAATGATATAGCACAGCTTTCTGCTAAAAAATATTTTTGCTATTATTTTTTCCGAATAAACACCCTTTTTGTTATTATAATTAGTTGTCTAAGATTTATTTCATCGAAACTGCAAGAAATTGTGCTCATGACCAGTTGTGCCTACGAAAAATTATGCTCACTACGAATTGTGCCCACAATGAATTGTCTTTATAATTACTTGTGCCAACTGCGATTTGTCTCTGAGACGAGTTGTGCTCACGAAGTATTGTCGCTGCGACAAATTGTGTTCACGATGGATTTTCCGCTGCAAATTATGCTCGACGAATTGACTCAACTGTGAAACAGATAACTCTTGGTTCTTGATGTTTCCCTACACCGAGAACTAAGAATAGTTTCTAGTATAGTCAGAAACCACGAATGTTCTTTAGCACTAGTTGGTATAGAGTAGCTGCCACCATTTTGATATTCTGTGACACTAACATTTACAGCAATGACAAGATATGATAAACATGCGAGTCAGTGAAGTTATTTTTAAGATACAAAATAAAGTAAGAATCAACAATTTAGGATACATATATACACTAATTCTTAAAATAAAATTAGTTTGTAAATCTAAAAAATGCGTAGCATTTAGAGAATATTTAAACGAATTAGGCTTAGCAGAGAAACAGATAGAAATTAAACATTATAAAATTACTTAATACAATTGGCAGATATTTGAAAATATCCTTACTCTTACTACACAACTAAAAACGTTTTACAACGGAGAATATTTGTTTCTGTAGATGTACAGCGGAACAACAACAAACACACGCCATTCCAATTGTTTTATTGACTATATAAGGAATACGCCAAAATAGGTGCATTATTGGTGTTAACTTAATATAAAGTATTCAATCTCACGATATTGTGGGCATCAAATTGATATTACACCACTATTTCTACAGTTTTTGATATTTAAAACAATGTTTTTCGAAACTCTTTTACAAAGGAAAATAAAAAAAGTCTTACACTTGATGCAACGCTATAATTTTATACTGTAAATGCCATCTTGTTGTAAAGAATTATCTGGACTTTAGAACGAACAAATAACTAAAATATTTTAAAAGTTATTAAACTTTCTTGAAAATCACCGATTTGGTGACATTTTTCTTCCTGGATGAAAATTATCAAAATTAATGCCTGATTCCCATTTTTTTGCAAAATTTCATGAGTCCTGATAATGCAGCATTGGAGAAAGTTTTTAAATATTAAAAAATGTTTCTCCATATTGACTCCATTTTCAGAATAAACATAGAGGACTAAAGGTAAACTAAATCTTGACCTAATAGTCATGAGTAACTGTTGCAAACTTAGATTAGTTATGAAAATGGTAAAAAAGCATCATTCCATGTGACTTCGAAAAACAGTCTTAAATTATTTACTACTTTTCAAAAAGATCAGAAAAAGAGAAACATCTTTCCAAAATCCCCCCATGATTTGTACATTTTTTACGTAATTGAAGTATCTATCAATCTTAGAGTAATCCTCAATGCCTTTAGTTGTGCAATTATTCTCTTCTAATTTTTATCCACTTATGAAACCATAAGTGGATAAAAATTAGAAGAGAATAATTGCACAATTAAAGGCATTGAGGATAATTCGATTTTATTCTCTCGGTATGAAACTTATTTTTTCAAGTTAAATTAATTGTTTTCGCTGTTAATTGTATCGTTCAAATAAATTTACAGACTATTATGTGTAATATATCAATGGTGCTACTGAACACCAAAAATAACAAATTGTACAAACGAAGAAAATATTCCTGGTACACCGTTTTCGGTGTTTTAGATACAGTAAAACAATGTATTTCGCAGTATCTCCTTCGTTCACATTTTTTATTTTATCTTTTGTAAAAATCTGAATACGTCACAAATTCTTTTTCCGATAACTATTTAAAAACATCATATAATATTTAAAAATTACTTTTTAGATGGAATTATAGTTTAATAAACGATTGTTATAATTGTGTGCACAAATATATTCTCCTAAAATGTTTAAGAGATACGGGGAACTAAGCAAGATGTGAAGGAGGAGTCCAAATTTCAGACACTTTTCCTAGGTGGGATCATATTTTCTAGATTGCAGCTATTTCCATATTTAATGATCAAACTTCTGTCAGAAAAAGGTACGTTTGTCAGGAGGAATGACGTTTTTGCTTTTGATTTTGTAAATGTATCAATAGTTAGCCTAAATTTAAGTGCAAAGAGCTACCATTTGAACCATTAAGATTGGAATGTGAAAATTCAATCATTCTTACTAATAATTCTGGTTGATATTTTTTTAGGCTCACTGTACATAAACACGAAAAGCTTCAATAAAAAGCATTAATACTTATATTTGTAAATTCATATAGGTTTTAATTGTGGTGATAGACCATTTTGCCTTCTTTCACTCAATTGTTTAGTTTAAAAAAATTGACATAATAACTTCGTCATAAGCCCAAACATTCATCATGGAACTAAATTTAGTTGAAATGTCAAGTAACAAAGTGGAAAAAAGTGACATCTAACTTCATAACCTTCAAAGGTTGAATTCAAATTAGAAAATAAGTAAAACTAACACAACGATTCTGGCAGCAACCTTTAATCCTTTCGAACCTGACGACACATATACGTCCCATCATACCTTCCAAGTCCCATCATACGTTCCAAATTGATCCCATTTTAACATACGATTTGCGCAGAACGATTTTTTAACTTTTATTAAGATTAACTTTTATTTATTTTTACTGGTTGGCAGCACCTGGCATGGCGGTATAAATTCTATGAAATCAAATGTTTATGTAGATTTAGGCACCATTTCGTGAGGTAATCACTGAAAGAGATAAGAAAAAGTGAGTGTCATAATATAAATATTATTTGTATCCTTTACGCTGTTTTGGAACATAATTTGCATGATTTATCATTTGTTACCGTCTAATATTGGGAAGATACCCACTCAAAAAACTAATGAGACGTCAAGGGTTTAACTGCAAGAAGTGAGTCCAGTCTTATTTCGAATAATATCTATGGTAAAAAAACAAAAGAAAACTTTCTCTCTGAAAAATTTGCCTAGAAAGCAATTCTCATGGTCAGGTATACATTGTTGCACCATTATAGAATGTATTTGTTCATAATCTTATTTTATTTTATATTTTATAACCGTCGTTGAACAACCGACCCAATGTTTGGGTTTACGACTACTAATGTATAATACCTTAATATCCTGTAATTTTGTACCCAATCCAGAAGACAGGGGAACTTCTGAATCAAGTATTGGGAGAAATTTGCCTTCGTGTAAGGATTTTTGATGGAACTAATCCGTACTTAATCTTAAATCTTAATCTTAAATCTTAATCTTAAATCTTAATCTTAAATCTTAAATCTTAACCTTAAATCTTAATCTTCGACTGCAAAAAGCTTAGAAATTTCAGTGTAAATATTTTCATTCATTTATGATTTTAACTCTTGGCATGCATAAAAAATAATTAATTGAACCATAAAAGAGCTAAAATCAATAACACCGAATGTCGTCTAAAATTTCCTCAGCAGTTTGTTTCTCTTTTTAGAACTTGGAAATATTGATTTATTAACTGGACTCGTCTCATCACATTTTTTTCATTTATTGCTACAAGAAATAATTTTCATCTTGCAATTTTTGCGCATAAATTGTTTATAATGATATTTCAGTGGTTTTGATTTCGAATTGTAAATAATCCTGTTTATTGAATAGCATATTTTAAGAAATGTATATAATATTATAACAGTAGTTTTAAAAAATATATTATAAAATATTTAATTTTAAAAATGTGTTTTAAGAAAACTATATTCAAAAACTTATTTTAAAGAATTTGTTTTTAAAATACATTATAAAAAATATATTATAAGGAAGTATAGAAAAAAACTATCTTAATATTTATTAAGTTAATTTTCTTCTTCACAAGTTACGATTGCTTTCAAATACTTATGATTGAAAGAACTAAATTATGTTTTGCTTTTAAATAATAGTTACTAAAAATTTATACATTATTTCGCCTGATTTAAAGAACTGATAAAAGGAATTGTCTTGTAAATTTAGGAATAAATAATAAAAAAAAATTTTATTTGAGCATATTATGTATTAGAATTTCACCAAGTTGAGTATTTAAAGCTTTGTGAGCAGACCATATAAAAGCTTTTGCAATTTATAGGTTTGGAACTTAATTTTAAATGTTGAATTCTATCAAGTTTTTTAATAGCATTATGTTCTGAATTTTAAAGAATTATTTATAATTAATACCTAGCATAAATCACTCACGCATACTTGTTTTCTTTCAACTAATTAATTAAAGTAATTCATTTTGGTTATAAATCTCATTTCTCAAGATACATAGGGTATTTTTTCTTAAAAAAACTGATTACATTGACCTTTATTTTGATTGCAAAAATTTGAGAAATATATGAATATCATGATATACACAAGAGTATTTATAAGTTGACCACTAACGCAATGTGGTCAACAGGTTTTAGTGTTCGACCTTCCTTGCGTTCTATTTAAATCCAAATTTATAGGAGAAATTATTTATTTTTACTCATATACTATAAAAACATACAAAGTGCATACATATCATTTAAAGTGAAGCATCCAACTTTGTTAAAAGAATACAACAATATATTTTTCAGATCAAAGCAAAAAATTAATGTGAATATCTTGTTTTTCTTAAATAATAATTTTTCTTTTATTAAATTGGTAAAAATAGCTTTAATGCAAGGCTCCCTCCAACTGCTAAAAATTTTACAGTACAAATTATTTGGGATTTTTTTTATTTAATTAATTTAATCACCAGAGCATACAATTAACGTAACTCATTAACCATTTGCAGGGCAGAAAAAATTTAACCAAAATGAAAGAAGAGCCATTATTGTGGTTTTAATTACCCAAATGAAATGTTTTATCTTCGCATTTTTCGTGTGATTGATTAAAGTCCATGTAGTTTAATATTAGTACAATTTTGGTGTTCTTTATTGTTATTAGAAATAAGAACTGCAGTTTCTTACCCCACCGCCCTGGTAAGGGTGGTGGGGTAAGATGATGCCCAACCACAATACTTCAACTTTGAAAAAGTGCGAAAATAGTAGTAACACATACATTTTTAAACCAAATAGATATTTTTATCTATAGCTTAGAAAATGTGTTGCTGTGCTGGAAAATGTGCTTGGAAAATGTGCTGTGACAAAAATATCAATATTTATTATATCATGATAGGCAGAACAACCTTGTTTTTTATAATACTTATGAAACAGTTGAGTTACCACTTTTTCCTTTTTGGAATAAATAATTCACTCAGACTCATAAAGTTAAAACTGTTCTAGCAAAAAAAAAAAAAAAGAATTGTAGGTATTTTTGAAAATTTCTGTTTCAGTTCACTACCAATTAAAATTATCTTTAGTAAAAAGCGTATAAATCTAAAAATGCAAGAATATTGCCGACTCATTTGGTTGAAGTTTTTTTCCCAGTCTTTAATAATTTATTCCAAATTTAGTAGATTTAATTTAAAATGAAATTAAAACACTTCTTTTACAAAGTTCTGCTCCCTACTGCTATGTAGATTAAATCAAAATTAGATTGGTCGGAATAGGTTCGAGCAATAGAAGAATTCAAAATTTATAAATTTGGCATTTTTATATGATAAGCTACATATTGCAAAAATAAAATTTTTTCTACAAGAAAATTTTTTTTAACTGTTTCTTGAAGTTCTATTTAAGCGTTAGCAATAAAAAGAAAATAGTTGTGAAGCCACTTTTCTCTCTCCATCGCGAAGCACTAACGTTATTTATTATCATTTTCATGGTAATATTCTATTGGACTTCTCATAACTTACGTTTCATAATGATAATTTGGAGCAACAACCGTTTTTCTTGTCCTCATCTTTTGATATTATATCCGTAATTGTTTCCATTCATTATTAATTAGTTTATAAGAATAAAATTTTTTTTTTAATATTCTAATAGAGGGAGACAAAAAATAACATTGCAACTAGTAGTATTGAAATTTTAATACTCTTTAAAATATCCCAATCAGATTTTCAAGTAAACATAAAAACATGATAACCTGTATCATATTTACGAGTTTTCAAGTGACTACTTTCAGCTTGAATGCTGAACTGTAAACGTGGTGAAAAATTTTCTGTTATTGACTGCAACTAACCTCCTGAATAATTTCATTCCTTGCCTATTTCTTAGGGAGGCCGAAATTTAATACAAATCCCATTTAATTGATTGGGATCATGTCTGGTGAATAAGGTGATCATTATTAGGCCATTCTTCATTGCCATTAGCACTGTGAGCTAGTACGGAATAATATTAAAAAGAATCATATTTGGTTTTCAAAGAAGCTTTCCAAAATGTGATGTGTTGCCATAAAAACATTTCAGTCCTGGTAATATATGCTTGGCGAATTTTTATATTTTGTACAACAATCACACACACTCACCACCACCAACACACAGCGCTGCACCCGTGCGCCGTATGGAGCATTTATCAGCAGGTAAAGCTGTGGTCAGAGAGATGGGCAAGACAATTGTGGAGAGTTGAGAAGTTAGATAGAGATGCTTAACGCTAAACCTATCATAACCGGTCAAATGACCCTTTAAGAATTTTTGCATCGAAAATGAGCTCATCATCTTATCGTTTTTGCACATTTGACTCATGACTTTTTCTAACAATTATGTACAGTTAATATTCGATTATTATTTGTTTGTTTTTTCTGTATTTTGTTTGTTTCGAATAATATTTGTTTTATACCTATTTCCTATCTGATCAGAAATGACGATGTAATGCGTGTTCAACGTTTTGCATTCGATTACTTGCACATTTCTGAAAAGACTGTTGCGTAGTTAGTTCAATCAGAATAACCGTGAATTCAAATGTCAAGAAAGTACCTAAAATTTTAGATTGGCATTTTTGTGTAAGAAAAAGTGACAATTATAATTTTTTTTTATAAATAATAATTAGAAGAAATATGTTTGCGAAAAATGTAATACGGAAACACCCTGTATATGTAAAAAAATTCTTATACCTTGTGTTTGTAATACATAAAAATTGGCAATATACAATTTTGTGTAATTATACTAAAGTTGCTTTCAGTTTATTTCCTTCCTAACATGCATATTTTATACATTCAATCAAGAAACAAAAAGTCCAGTCATTTGACCGGCTATGGTAGAAATAGGTATATATTAAGTGTTGGTATGTTTAGTGTTAAAGTCGATGGTATAGGAGGAAGTTGATGAAATAATGTAGAGGGCTTATGGGTTGGTTTTTTTCCTGTTTTGCTCTATTTCACCTTTTTTCTTTTATTATGGTTTTAGTAGATCCTCATAGTTATGGAGAAAATTTATTAGTTTAATTATCTTATTCCTAAGCATTGTGTTTTCAGTAATTGACATTTTCCAGGGCATTTGCGGTTTTCTGAGATGATATGAGACTCTGAGTGAGCAGTCCGTGGCATAATGGTGTGCAGTTCCGATCTTGCCATACTCACATTAATTAGTATTTACGATATTGTATCTTTTTAAATATACCCCGAAGATGAGAAAGATGGATGGCTCTCTTGGCCAATTATGCTTAGAGAACCTGACTGATGGAAGCATTTTTTTGATTTTTTCCCCAGATACTGGCCTGTGGGAATGCCAATATATTTGCCATTCTTTAGGATGTTAGATTTAGCCAGTTGTTTGATGGGGTGGCGAGCTCAATTGGAGTGCCTGTGGAAATTGCATCTTCCCTGTCTGCTACCTCATTTCCTTGGTTGCCGTCATGTGCTTTAACCCATCTGATAAATACGTTTGATTTGGAATGTAGAAGCTCTTGGATT